ACATTGTAAGGCTCTTGAACCAAACCTATATCATAATTCTTGAGTTTTTGACAGAGTTGTGAATTGGTGGCAATGGCTCTTTGTAAGTTGACCTGCACAAAGCGGATTTTTGAGCCCTGACAACCAATATCTGAATGTGTGTTATAATTCATAGTCAATCCTTGAGGTAACTTGAGCTTTCATTCTTATTTGAATGGAGCACTCCTTATCCAAAGCATTGTGCCTATGATTACTCTGCTTCTCTCTGACACAGTTAACACAGGTTAGCATCTCAGACTTTTTGCAATCTTTATACGAATGATTATTGCCACACTAGCTACACACCTTAGATTTGGACTTGCAATCCTTTGCATAATGTCCAAATTAGACATTTAAAGCATTGGTTTGATGGCACAAAATGTGCAATGCTGCATCATGTCCACTGTAGGTTGATTCGCTCTTCTTTAATGAGAAGATTTCTGATGTCAGGGGTCACTTCAATGACCCAAACAATGTGCTGTGAGCTTCATTGGCCAATAGGGAAACAGACCCTGGTCTTTCCCATAAATTCCTCATAACTGTATAAGTCTGCAATAACCACGTTTTGTTCATAAATTGCTTCAAGTAAATGTTCCTTTGCCACATCTTTCGGAACAGAACTGATCCTCACCAGCAGAAGATGTTTCTTTGGACCAGCAGCACACAGGCTGGCAACTCCAGCGACCGCACGCTGGAGAACCTCCATGTCCCCCTTACAACTGAGGTCAATAGCAACCCCACCTTTTTGAATCCTGCGGATACATTGCACACCGATCTTGAGCTGATGTGGACTAATGCTGCCAGTGAGCAGCTTGCAGTAAGCCTTGGAGTCACATGAATCTGAATCCCCATAAACAAGAACTGTGTGGCACAGCTTACTAGGAGGCCCAGCTTACCCAAATGCCTGACAGCATTGCTGTAACTAAAGGGCTGTCCAGAATCACACACTTGCTCATCCACAGGACAAATCCGTGTGGCACAGCTTACCCAAATGCCTGACAGCATTGCTGTAACTAAAGGGCTGTCCAGAATCACACACTTGCTCATCCACAGGACAAATCCGTGTGGCACAGCTTACCCAAATGCCTGACAGCATTGCTGTAACTAAAGGGCTGTCCAGAATCACACACTTGCTCATCCACAGGACAAATCCGTGTGGCACAGCTTACCCAAATGCCTGACAGCATTGCTGTAACTAAAGGGCTGTCCAGAATCACACACTTGCTCATCCACAGGACAAATCCGTGTGGCACAGCTTACCCAAATGCCTGACAGCATTGCTGTAACTAAAGGGCTGTCCAGAATCACACATTTGTCCTGTGGATGAGCAATCTACAGGACAAATGCATCTAACACTGTGAACCTCCTCTGCAAGTGCCTTAAAAGAAGCCTCTGCTCTGGCTGACTGAGAAGTCAGCACCACCTCAAAATCCCCTTTAATGACTAAGGGCCCAAACTTACTATCTAATGCGCCTGACGAGTTGAAGGTCTTGCAAGAACAGGCTAAATCAATAACACACTGGAACTGCTCAATAATATACTTTGCATGCATATCAGTACCTAGTCTTCCATTACTGTTGGAAGCAATATAATCCCTAGGTCACCTTAACAGCCTCGTGGGCAAACCCTGGGGGCCACAGTCCATCATGCCAAGCCAATGTGAAAACAAAGTGGCTCAAAACGCAAGTGCAGACCAAAACTAAATAAATGAAAAGAGTACAAGTACATGTAAAACCAAAAATAGACTAAAGCAATAAAAAAAATAATAATAAATAATGTTAAATATACTGAAAGATCAAAGAGACCACTATAACAATTACCCATGAGTGATAGTTATACCAATCAACCACCCAACAACATTAAGATTCATTAAAAAGACTTAGAGACAGTTAAAAAAAACCATTGAATGGTTCTAACAGTCAAGGAATTCAAAAAAGAGGAAAAAAAATTCCCATGGCGGTTAATGCAACCAGTTTTAAACCAAATAACCCCTTTGATAATGAAACGACCCCTACTGAACTTGCCACACAGATACCCAGACCACCCCTAACAATGGCCCCCCTGGTTGCGCCTCTTGAAAACTTAGCCCCCGCCCTCTAGATGCGACCGAAAATCCAAACAAAAAGTACCATAAATTTCCCCGTGATTAAGATATAGGCATAAATGATATATCATATGAACCAGGGTTCCAAGCTGATTAAAATGATAACCTGAAAATCAGTCTACATGCAGTTAAAAGATCCGGGAAAATTAGCGATAATCCTGAGAGCTCACAGAAATACGTGTTGTACCAGAAAGAATCTCCAGTATGCCTTGGTAAATCTTACACAATGAGAAACAATGCCACACTGAGCAGAAAAACGCATGTATCACCCTTTCTTTTCGCAAAATTAGCAGCAAGGTTGCGTGGGCATGCCAACAAAAAACTGAGACAAATTTTTTATGAAAAAAATCAACAAAAACCAAACCGACAATAACTGAAGTAAACGAAAACCGAGGTATCACTGAATATTGCAAATTCTACACATATATATATATATATATAAATGGACATGTATGTCCCTATATTTCACTTTTTCACCAAAACTACACATTGTACGTGAATGGTGTTTGTGTAAGTTCACCGATTTTGGGGGCAATATGTTAATTGCACGTCAGGAAAACCTAGGGTCAAACCGTATGTGGGTGGTGGCGGTAGGAGACGGAGATGACAAGTGTCTTACACGAAAACCGTTTATTTTGACATTAGATTAACTTACACAATAGGAATGACAAAACGTAACAAGCTGGACATCCGGTGTTCTGTTCTTTATATGCCCCGGGGCTCGAATGAGGTATAGTCTGAAATTCTTGCATCCTGTGACGGAGCTCTTGTGTTTGATGACGGAGTTCTGGTGTCCGAGGACGGAGTTCTTGGGTTCGGTGACGGAGTTCTTTCCTTCGATGATGGAATTCTGGCGTCCGATGACTGAGTTCTTTCCTTCGATGACGGAATTCTGGCGTCCGATGACGGAGTTCTTTCCTTCGATGACGGAATTCTGGCGTCCGATGACGGAGTCCTGGTTTACGGCTGAGATTCGACTGTCAATCTCTCTTGAGTGTAGATGTCCGTGTGCTGAGGACCTGGCGTCTTGGAGAGAATCTGCTGCGTGTCCTTGAGATTCGGGGGTTTTATAAGATTTTTCCCGAATCTCACCCTTCTGATTGGTTCCATTCATCCTCTCCCTTACCCCGATTGGTCATTCTTTTGTTTCTAGGCGAAACTTGAGACCGATCCGGGTTGGGAAAGGTCGGAGAGGTGATGACGGGGCTTTTAATGTTCGCGCTCGTATTTTACTCCATTATGGCCCTTTTCTCTGTCATTTTTGAACCTAAATGGTCCACCAGATGTTCTTGTGGCCATTTATCCCCTACCGCGTTCTTACTTAACAGATGTCCCTTTTGTTCTTAGACTCCCCCCCCTTTCTCAATTGCTTCGACCCGACGCTTGTTCGCAAGCATCTCAACAAAGTTCTTTCCCTCTGTCAACATCCCCCCTGCTGGTTTATCATCGCGCCGTGTGTGTTTTACAATTCGAAAAGTTTTCGTCCCATCTGGGTTCTGTCATTAACACCAGACTTGTCCCGATTCTATCCTCGAAACTTTCCGACGTGAAAGTCTCGTAATTAGTTGTATTTCCGACGTGCTTTTACGACCCTCACATTTGTATGTGGTCCAAGTCTCCATTTGTGCATAGGGATGGTTGCGTCTCGATAGCTATAAGGGTGCGGGAGATATGAGGCTGAAAGTAGTTGAAAGTGGCTTTCTATTTCGAATGTTTTGTTCGAATTTAATTTGAACATAAAATTTGAATATTGGTTCGATTATAGAACGATTGTAAACGTTCCAGAAATGTTGAAAATAGTTTGTTTGACTAAACGTAAAAATTCTCTAATTAGTCTGGAAACGGGGGACCTAATTCTTGCATTCTGTGAAAACGGGTAAGATTAGCTATAATGTAATTATCTTAATCTTCACTATTGTTACTTTTTGCCCAGCAAAGCGGGTCCTTGCAGCTAGTAATTAATAAATTTGGCTATAAACAAAAATTTCAAATGTATTCTATTTAAAATTTAAATATACAGGTATACCTCACCTTAGATCAGTAATTTGTTCCAGGAAGCAACTTAAGTTGAATTTACTTGTCACTAAGCTAAACCACAAATAACTATTCCCAGTTCTGTATTTTATTTATAAATGCATTTTTAATAATATATGGTTAAGAATCTATTTTAAGCTTACAAACAAACAAATTTTAGTTTTTAATATAGTACAGAAAAAAAAATAATTCAAATTTACAAATACAGTACATGTATGTACAGTACATACTTGTAAATGTATGTACATGTTTACAATTTGGCGATGTTTACAGTACATCACGGACTCTTTATTTGTGAATGTGGTTTGCTCTAAGACATTATAAAATAAGATGAATTTGTAAGGTTAAATAACAAATATTAAAATTATTTTGCGATAGTAGAAAATAAACTAATTTATGTTAAATTTGCCAATATCGAGTGGTGCCGACAACGACGCCAAACGGTAGTTATTGGAGCTACGTGGAAAACACCAATACTGAGCACTTAAAGACCACTAAATAAGATGATAACACAGAGTCAGAGATGTTTTCATGTTTCATTCTCTGGGATTTATGATGATTATATTAATATTTACTGTAAATGTACATATTTTAATATGATTTTATGTGCTTTTAATGCTTTTCTAGTGATATTACAATTTCAGTATTTGTGGCAGACAGACGTAAAGTCAAATAAAATGACTTAATCTTGATTTTTATTTTTCCATAAATTTTTTTGACAAACGATGTATAATCGAGAATGACTAATTTTAAGGTTTAACTTAGAAATTTTAGCAGTAGATCTTTATATAAAATGAATTTAAATTTTATTGAAGTTATTTATATTTGTATTTTGTTGTTATAGAGCCATTGGAAATCATTGAAAGACCAAAAAAATTAATAACTGTTGATGCTGATCAGCAAGAAGAGATAATTCTGTCATGTAAAGCAAAAGGGTTTCCTACACCAAAATATCTGTGGTATCACAATAATGTTCCATTATTAGAAGGTTCGGTTTTAAAATTATCAGCAGAGTATGTATATTATATATAATTTTTATTAATTTAATAATAATCTTGCTAATTTTTTCTACATAAACTTTTCATTTATATATTTATTATTTAGAAAATATATTAACATTTTCAGATTAAAAAATAATGGATGCTATTATTGTGAAATATACAATATCAGTCGTTCAAGAATTAAAACTTTTCTTAGGACTTCTAAAACAGAAGTTATAATTTCTAAGAGTAAGAATATAAATTTGTTTTATTTTTTAAATTTGACTTAATAATTTATGTTAATATGAAGAATGATCCAAACACTTAAACACATTTTGATATTGTTTTTGTGTGTAAATAATAATGTATATAAGGGAATGTCCTTAGACTGTATAGTTGGTGCAACCAGGGTTGGTTCATTTTTGTGTCTTTAAGGGATGATAAGAATTGTTTATGAATGCACATGTACTCTCTTGGGCTTCATTTAGTCTTGAAAAGAAGTCAAATGTGTGTGGACTGTAAATTCTTAGGAGATTCTTAGGACAATACATCTTTTGTTAATTTGTAAGCAAAAATTTTAATAAATATAAATATTTCATAGATGATAATAATGCTGATGTAATTAACTATATTAACCAAATTATTCAATTCATGCAAATACAAGGTGCAGCAGAAAGAAGATTCTGATTTGGCATAAGCATTGCTTCGCTCATAGTAGAGGTACAGTAGTGTGCGTGGTCTCTTTTGATTTGTTTGTGTCATTTTTAGTTACTGTCATGGCGTGGAGCAGAGAGCATCGTGTTTTTGTTGTTGAAGAGTTTGTTATGAACAGTGAATCTGTGATAACGACGCAATGGGCCTTCTGAATATGCTTTCAGCTCGGACATCAAGATCTGGTTTCGGCTGCACCAACATTTCGTTGTTGGGTTTCAAATTTTAGATGAACAGGTTCAGCTTTAAAAAGAAAGAGTCCTGGCCACCCTAGAAGTGTAACAAGACTGGAAGATGTGGCAGCTGCGACAGCTTCCATACAGCAGTCTTCCAAGCAATCTGCACGTAAACACGTAGCTGCATTAAACATGTCTGATCGTAGTCTCTGCAGACTTTTACACAGCTTGCTCCACATGCATCCCTACAAAATGATGGTCGTTCAGGAGTTGAATGATAGGGACTATCTAATCTGTAAAACTTTGTGTCAGTATATTCTGCAGAGCATTTCCCCAATAGTGGTACTGATCTCCAGTGACGAAGTCCATTTTCATTTATCGAGGATGGTCAACAAACAGAACTTTAGATACTGGTCTGACAGTAATCCTTGATAACTCCACTCCATAGTCCGAAAGTTACGGTTTGGTGTGCCTTAGGTGATTTCAATGTGTGGGGTCCTTATTTCTTTGAAGAGGGCAGTATTACAGTGACAATAACATCATAGCACTATTGTAAATTGCTTGAGAATTTTCTCCATCCATTAGTTAATGGTTTACTCAACGATCATGATCCGGAAGATGTATGGTTTCAGCAAGATGGTGCCACATCGCATACCTTTAGAAGGTCACTTGGAATTCTCAGAAACTTGTTTCCGGGCCATCTTGTCTCTTTATGGGGTGATATTGGTTGGCTACTGCATTCGCTGGATTTGGCCCCATGTGAGTTTTTTCTGTGGGGTTATCTCAAATCAAAAGTGTACCAACACCAACCAACAAATTTTCAAGAACTTGAGGCAGCAATTAGGCAAGAAATCATGGCGATTCTGATGGACATGGTCCACAGATCAATGCAAAATTTCCAAAAGAGATTTCAAAACTGCATCAACATTGACGATCACCGTTTAACTGATGTACTTTTCAAAACATAATGAATGACAATGGGATACTGTGTACTTATCAGGTATAAAAGATTTCTTTCTCTATCTTGCTTTGTATTTTTTTTATTGTTGTTCCAAATCAGAACGTTCTTTCTGCCACGCCCTGTACATAGAAAAGCTAGTCAAATAGGAAAAAAGGGAGAAATGACAAGTTTTTTAACTTGTTGTCACTCATGTACGATAAAATCAGCATCAATGACTTCTTAAATCATTAGTGTAGAAATCTGAATTTCTTGAAAAATCTGAAAAATTTCTAATCACCTAACTTTTTGAGTATTTCAATATGTTTATTACACTTTTTTCCCCACAAAGACTCATTTTTTTTATTTATTTATTTAATAGATATGGCCAAATCGGCACTGTAGTGCGAGTGACCTATTAATTAGATTTTTTAAACTTACCACCAATGCTGTAACAAAAAAAAGCTGTCCCAATGGTGCAGGCTTTTTTTTTTAATAATCGCTTTGTTTTAAAATGAATAATTTAAATAATTCCCAAGTCAAACTTATTTTTTTATTTTCCTTCTATTGGTAGTTAGATCATTAGTTATTATTACTGTATAGATTTCATAATTATAAATATGCATTATTTCTAAAATTTCAACAAACAATCTTTAATTATCTATTAAATTGAAAGAAAGGTTAAATCAATGTCTTGTTGCCATGATAATGTGTGACAGTTGCATAGAATCATGATGATGATGATAATCTAGGATCCTTTTCATTTGAAGTTTAAGACTATTTATAAAAAATTAATTTTTTGAGTCTTTTCTTATCCTTTTTCATAATATTACAGAAGTAAGTCTTTCAGTTTGAAGATAAAACTTCATTAAATGACCAATAATAATTATTAAAAAATTCACACAAAGTTAAAATTGATCAAATGCTGACCTTTTATTTGAGTATTCGTCACTTTTTACATTAAAAACAATTATAAAAATTTCTCACAATAACCATCACTTTCCCAATATGTTTTTGTGATCTGCATTGTATGTTTCATATTGTCTTTTTAGTTTTTTTCTTGACACCTGTTCAACTGCTTGTTACCACAACTTTTTGATGTTTGCTTCCATAAACAGAACCTTGTGTCTTGCAACATAAGATTTTATAAGAATTAATTTGGGCAAATAGCCCAAATTAATTTGATATGGTAAAGTTTACAATGGTAAGGGTCTTACAGCGGTATGCCCTTTTTCTGCAGCCAGTTTGTCAATTAAATATCTTTTGCTGTGATTTACCTCCTTCACTTTAGAAAGTAGTTCTGCCTTAAGGTAGCTTTTGTCACACTAAACTCCATGATTTAAAAGCCAGATGATTTCCAGTGGATGATTTCAAATTTCCTGCTAGCCGTCGTTGGAGCCTTGTTGACTTGAACAGAGTGATAGGGCACATTGTCCATTACAATTAAGGCACTTTGAGGAATTTCGAAATTATTGAGAATTTGTGTTACAAACCACCGAGAAAAATTTTCAACATTCATTTCATTGTGATAATTGCCTAATTTTGTCTTTGTAACAAATATTAAATCTGTTCCCTTGATAAAACTGCACTTTGACCCCACATGAACATTCACTTTCCTTTGGAAATGGATACAGACCAGCCAGTTGGATCATCAATTCACATTTTTGAGCTAGTATGATTGGTTAATATCTATGTTTCCTCCAGGAAAATGACTGGTTGAGGGTTTTCAGATTTCTCATTTTTCATGAACTGGTGAATATAATTTCTCCAAGCAGCCATAATGTGAGACTTTTCAAGAAGAAAGTGCTACCAACATGCTTCTTCCATTTGAAACCTAACTGCTTCAAAATGGTCTGAAGGGAAGTAGGGCCACCGTCAAAATCACTTTTTCGTTTAACTTCTTGAAAGATGGAATTTACAGTTAGCAGAGGCAGTTTTTTTACTTGCATAAAGTTCAATTACCATTCTCTTGATAACTGATAAATCAAAATTCATCCAGATCATTTACAGCAACATTTCTAGATCTTTTTTTCTCAGGAGTTCTCAGCCTTTCCTGATTTGCATCTTCTCTCAAAATTTGTTTTATTGTTTTTCAGAAATTCCAGTGGCACTTTCTGTTCTTCTGTTCACTTTATTTAAATCCATTACAGACTTTTGATTTTTTTCTGGGCAGTAAAAAAATTTGTACCCATTGCAAACCACTTTGACTTGGGATTGAATAGTTTTTCCTTTTTAAAATTTTCACTCATAACTGCACTGTACACTGGTTTAAAAATATATAAAATACACTTCAGCTAAATGAAAAATCCTTGGAGCTCACAATCCACATCCACTTGACCACCACCACCTAGATATATATCCAGGTGATGGAGAGTTGACCCCTTTTCAAGACTAAACGAAGCCCGAGGGAGTACATGTGCATTCGTAAACAATTCTTATCACCCCTTTAAGACACAAAAATGAACCAACACAAGAGCCAGCTCTGGTTGTGCTGACAATACATATAAGTATATGTAAGTTTGAGGGAGATATCACAAAAAATACATCAATGTACATTGTGGGAAAGTTGAGGTATTGTTTATATGGACCATTTTAATGTACATAGTAATGTAGTGGCATACAAATCTGCCCTTATAAACCTACTTACTAGTCATGTGAATAAACTATCAGTTTCTCCAATGTTGGGTTCACAAATTGTTGTACTGTGCATGTAATTAAAGGGATGTGATTTGTTAAAAAGTATAGTACATCATTGTACACAACAAGGAGAGAGAATCAAAAGTGGCTCAAAAAATATGCACATAATGGCCCTTCATAACGTAATTAATGATAGTAATGAAAAAATAAATTAATATGTCCTATCTGTAGATCTATATTTTGGTGTTATAATAATATAAAACAACATTCAAATTATATTACTTACAATTAGAGGAATTGTAAAATCAGGTTTATTTCATACAAAACTTATTGCTGTCAGTTTGATTTTGATGTGTTAAGATATAAGATAATTGCATCCACACTGAATGATTGCACTTCTGAATAAAATACATTTTTTCATACCAAATTTGTTAGTATTTAAGAAGACACAAGATTTCTAAAATTTATTGATTTATGGAACAGTTTTTTCTTAGAAAAGTTTGTGTCTTTTTTATTTAAAAAACATTATGTTGGCTAATAACATGTAATTTTATGTTATGCCTCTTATAACTATTTTTTACTGAAGACCAAGACCATAAAATCAACTTTATTATAAACTTTTAATGCTATGCATTTCAGATGCTACATATCCCTCTTTACACTAAAAAATTGTTTTAAAAAAGTACACAATTACAAATGAATAAGGTAAATTATACAATTAACACCATCACCTACCTTTCTACAATGAAGTAAATTTACAATTATTAAAACAATATGCAATGTATTTTAAATAAAAGACAGAAAGTTTTCTAAGATACAAGATTAATATGTTCCACTGGGATTAATTTATTAAGATAAATACAAAAAATTTAATGAAAAAGCTTTCTTTTATTATTATTTATATGTTCATTAATTTTTATGTCAAAATGATTAATTAGATAAGTGTGATAAACATTTATTCAAAAACAGTGCAAGTCTGACAGAATAGTTATGCATCACATTTCAAATAACCTCTAAATGAAGATCATAGGCATAATATGATTGTTTTTTATGTAACTTTGTTTCTTTGTGAAATAGACTTTTTTTTTTTACAAATATTTTACAAATTATTGTAAAAACTATTTAAAAATTGTTTTAAAGGCATCATTACGCCATATATATGTACTACTGTACTCCATATTAACTAAATGTTGTATAACAAATGGAAATTTTCTTAGTGATCGATAAGCTTGTAATTTAGTTTAAGAATTAGCATTATTATTATTCTAAGGAGCAAATTTATGAGATTATGATAATTTTAATTTATTCAATAATTTTTTGTGTGATCTTTTTGTATAATTAGAAAAGTTTAAAAAACTTGTCACCATCCTTGTAAATAAATAAATAAATAAAAGTTGGCTTCCTGAAATTACAAATTTCAAACAAATTGTATGGAATACTGATGATTAATATTTTGTAGGGCCACTTTTTGCTCTAATTACTTTGTGGTATTATAAAAATAAGTTTTTTATATAGTTCTGGATTAACCTCTGACTATGATTCTTTGACTGTCTTCATTAATTCTTCTATGGTTGAAGCTCTTTTTTTAAACACCATTTTCTTCAGAATATTCCAAACATTTTCAATTGGAGATATATCTGGACTGTTGGCAGGTCATTCTAAATGCTATATATTATGTTTTTAAAACCATTGCTTAATTTGTCTAGCTCTATGACATGATGTGTTGTTGTTCTGTTAGATGAAATCATCACCAAAATGATCTTTGGATGTTTTAATGACCAAAGATTCTAATAACTCCAAATAACCATCAGCATTCAATGTACTATTAAGGATTGCCTTCTCATCAACAGTTTACAGTTCTCTTTTACAGGTTATACATTACACTTTTAGGAAATTTTATTGATGAATTTAAATGATCGGAATGAAATTTTTTATCTGATCTTCTGTGTACTGATCTACTACCTCATCACCATAGTCAATACATATTTTTGATTCACCTGTGAATATAAGTCATTGCCACTCATTAACAGTCCAGTCTTTGACTTTTGGACTATTTCAAACCATCTTGTTTTTGTTTTTTTTTCTTTTGTCTTATAAAGCTTTAGTTTTAATGGAAACCTTTTTCTGCTAGCTTCCTCCCTACTGTCATATCCAATACATTAATATTTGTCTCATTAACACCTATTGAAAATGTTTGAAATATTCTGAAGAAAATGGTGTCTAAAAAAAGAGCTACAATCATAGAAGAATTAAAGAAGACAGTCAAAGAATCATGGTCAGAGATTGATCCAGAACTATGTAAAAAACTTTATTTCTATAATACCACAAAGAGTTATGGCTGTAATTAGAGCCCTACAAAATATTAATCATAAGTATTCCATTCTTTTGTTCAACTCTTTGAAATGCTGTAACTCTGTAATTTAAGCAATATCTTTACAACATTTGGTGCATAAATCCTTTAGTATGTCTACAACATTTGCCCATTGTTAAAAGTTCAATAATATTTTTGTGAATTTGATTATTTCAGGATAAAAATAATTTTCCCACAACAATTACAAAATATTCCATACTTTTGTTCAGGGATTGTAGTAGTACTTTATCATTTTGTATCATGATAATGTACTACTACAATTTTTGCTAGCAAGTTAGACATTATAAAGCTAAAAAATAGTGTGCAAGTGGCTTATGAAATAACTGAAAACTTTATTGATAGCATTAGGATAGTTATGAACCAATGTGATAAATGTTTAGAGAATCAAGAGGGTACAGTACAATTGAAAATATTTTAATTTAATAAAAACAAATAGGCTTTATTTTTGATTTAACTTTGCATATTAATGTTTTAAAATAAAATAAATTTAATAATAATAATCATAAAATTTAGTATAATATATTCATTTTTAGATGAAAAAGTTTACAATGGAAATACAGATGAGGTAGATCATCAAACCTGGGATGAGAAATGTTCAGCAAGTGATAAATGTGATTCTGCTACATCAAGTAGAAATGAAGAAATGGAGTGTGAAAATGTAACATATTTTGGTAATGTTATAAAATTTTTATTATATTTAAGTTTTAAAGAATTTTTCAAACTTCATATTTTTTTCTGTTTAGCAACAGATAAATTTGCCCTCTTAATTGGCATCAATAAATATGAACACTTTACCAATTTAAATCAGGCAACTCAAGATGTCTGCGACTTATCAAAATTATTGAAAACCATTGGTTTTAAAACATTCTTATTTCAAAATCTGACCCGAAAAGAAATTATAGAAGCTGTTAATTTATTTTGTACTTTTTTAAGACCTGGCACCTATAGTATGTATGTTGCATATAAAAACAAATTATAACAAAATGCATTAATTCAATTTTTAATTTTGTGCTTAACTAATTTCAGGTTTATTTTATTTTGCTGGACATGGCTTTGAACAGCCCAAACAATGTTATTTATTGCCAAAAGATGCTAAAATGGCTCTACCAAAAGAAAGTATAAATGTTGATTTTGTTGTGAAATGCCTGCAAGAACGTACTACAGCTATGAATTTAATTCTTTTTGATATTTGCCGTTCACTTCCAGAGTAAGAAAATTAGATACAAACTTATTAAATTAAAATTACTACACAAATTAAATTTATAAAAAAAATTAAATAATTAAATTAAATTAAAATTAAAAAATTAAATTAAATTAAAATTAAATAAAAAAAACTACACAAATTAAATTAGTGTTTTTCAAGCTTTTTCTCATAGCAAATCAGTAAAATTATGGATAATTTAAGTAGACCAAGTAATTACATGCAATTATGAATTATGCTTATTTATTGAGCTTATACAGTAAGACCACGCTTAATGCAGAGGATGTGTTCTTAGACGACAAAGTGCTAAATGAGGTCATTTTTAACATAGAATAAATAGGGAAAGGGGAACACGCAACCAAAAATAACAGATTTTACTTTAAGTTATTTTTATATTAATTTGCATAATAATATACGTTAAATAACAAACATATGCACACAGAAATGTAAAGTTCATTTATTGTGATGAAGGTCCTGGATTTTCTGAAATTCTTTTCTTTTTTCTTTTTGCAATAAAGTAGTGTAGTTTCACTTGTCGCTTTTTTCCCCTTTCCTTAAGCAAATGTTGGTAGCCAGGAGATCACATCCAAAATGCCTTGTTTTGCTTTTTCACTCCTTTCAAAAGCTGGATCATTCGCTACAGTTTGATCAACAATTTCGGTTATCATTACCAAACTTTTACTAAGGAAATCTGTAGCAAGTTCTTTGGGTTCTTTATTTTCATAATCACTATTTTCCAGTTGTACATGAATTCCTTGCTCTTCCAGTTCTTGAAGGTTGTCATTCGTAAGGCTCTCACCAGAAACCTACAGTAACTTCTCAATATCCTGCTCATCTACATCTCCTATTCCTGCCGTATTGATTAAGTTGACAGTTTGGTGAACGATAGGCTCTTCTCGTTGAGAATTCTTGGATACCTTCAGCATAATGTCTTCCAAACTCTGTTTGTGCATTTATCAGTTAATTCTTGCCAAGCAAAGTCAATATTACCTATGACATCCATAATGTTATATTTTTTTCCAAAATTGCATAAAACAAACATAGATTTAAGGGAAATACAGTGCTATGATGAATTGTCACCTTTTGCTGATTGGTTGGTGTTCATAAATAATTGTATTATGTACGAATCAATGAAATGCCACTTTTTTTTTAGGATGTCAAGCAGACTGCATTATATCGAATCAGCGTTACTCAAGGCAGCATTAAGCAGCATCTTACTGTTTATGCTAATCTAGAGTTATTGTACATAACAAAGTATGTACAGTAACTCTAGCTTACTATTTAAATGTCACCCATAATCAACTACTAGTTTCAATACAAATATTTTTTCTAGACCGGTGAAATTTTTTCACAGATTGGCAGTTGAAAAACACTGATCTAAATGATTGCATGGTATTATATACACTACCTTATTAAAAGTATCTGGTCATCTACTTGTTTACTATGTATTAAATATAACTGTGCTAACCGAGGGGGCTGAAGTGGAGAGCTTCTCCCCACTTACCGGCTTGGCTGTCAGGAAATGGCTATAGGAGGGCAAAAGCAGTGGGAGGCATAATGAAGTCGTGATGAGGTGTCGGTAATACATAGTAAGGGTCATTAAATTTAGGAACAACACATTTAATATAAACATAAGAATGTTACAAATACATTAGGGTACATCTTAATTCTAAACAAAAGTGAATATATAATAATAATAATTTTGCGTCGCGACAATATCGGACAACCGATGTTCGTTTATCCCTTAAGTAGGACCGTCGAAGGTCCTCGACTCAAATAATTCTAAGACCTATCAAAAGGTACAGAGCAAATATTTTCTAAGTCCCGAATAAGTCGAGAGACGAATAAATTCTAAGTTCCGAGTATACCGAGAGACAATAATTTCTAAGTCCCGAGTATACTGAGAGAGAGTGAAGTAAAAACAATCTAAGTATTTACCTCTTTAGGTCGGCGATCAGAAACCGTGAAGTCCTTTCAGAGGAGACACTTGTAGTCTTCTTTCTCCGATGATCGCGCCTCGAGACCTCCGATCATTCCCCTTTTATACTTTTTTAGCGTGGGAAATCTCGGGGACTTCGTTGACGTAATATGTCACTTCTCCCGATTTATGACAGTCTCCCCCGTCATGGGTGACGACAATGCAGACATTGCTTGACCAATTAATGTTAAATTCGTCATCACCTGGGGAGATGACTGACCATTTTAGGTAATGTTTCTCACCGTAAGGGTGACCCTTGTAGGTGACCTCTTGTCTACTCTCCATGCAGGAACACCCGTCAACCGGCCACCCCCAGGCGCCCGGCCGAGGAGCTAACACTGATGAAAACTCTCCGGACAGCCAAGAAAACAAATAAGCGCTCGGGGGAGAGGGGAGTTCTTCTGCAGTCGCCTCGGACGACTTCGTCCTAGGGATGACCTTCTTGATGGACGAATTACGCAGTTCATTATCCGGGGTTTATTCCTTGGGTAACAAGGTGAGAACGGGAGAAATAACGGAAATAATGATGAAAGAAATATAACTTGTTACGTATTTAATTAAAATTCTCATACGATAGTCAGATTTTCACATAACACATTAATTATTCTAATACACATGGGTATTCCTTGTGTTAGAATAATTAATTCCATAGAATAATTCCATCCTTTCTTGCTATTGCAGCCTATACTCTTCTTAGATTTTCACTAAATATTTCAGTTGGCATTGTTTTCCATTTCATCTTCTATGAGAGCATTAGTGAAGTTGAATCAATTTATAATTCATTCTAAAGATTAAGTGGGATTTAGGTCAGGATCTTGTGAAGACCAATTCATTTCTTCTATATTCATCTCTTGGCCTGAGCTGCACAGCAAAATGCTTAAAATGTTTATGGGTTTTGTAGATAGATGTTATGTGAAAATTACTTTATATAGACACAAAATTTGAGGATGTTGTCTGCAATAGGCATATCTTTCATCTGTAATAATACCAATTTTGGAATAATCTTAATTTTGCAACAGCTTAGCAATTGCAATCAGTTTAGACCAGTGTTTTTCAATCTTCTTCTCATTGTGGACCAGTATAAATTATTTATACAATTCCTTTGTCTTTTTTCACTTGAACCTGATTGATTACAGAGAGCTATGTATGATTGTAAAGAAACTAGCAAATGACTTTTCAAGCACAATGAAATTGATACTAAGAAGAGTTTGCTATTTGTAAAATAATATTAATACAAAGTGTATTTGCTTTGGCTGATTTACTTTTAGCATATTTTTCATGATTGTTTTAGAAAAGTATGCTTCAGGACAAAAAAGTCAAGAAATTTCTTCACAAAAACAAAGATGTTGGTAATAAAATGAAGCTGTCATTTACAATACAGTAGAGCATTGATTATCCGACCCCCGATTAACCGTCACCTTGGTTAACTGACCGCGTTCTAGTCGGCAAAATTCAAATGTCCGCTAGTGATGTGGCGCTACAATATTTGGCTATGTCTTGGCTACTTTAATATTATTTTTGTGTATTTTAGCTGGCAACACTGATCGACCATGAAAGGGAGCCAGTATTTAAACGAGGTAAACGAGGCTTAATTTTCTAATTTTTAACGATACAATAGCGATGATTATTATTTTTAAGAAAAATTTGATAGACTTAACATGGAGGAAAATTCAATGTGAAGTAGGTTAATAGCGATATACTAATATACTAATTACATGGGATGTAATAATATACTACACTAATAATGGATTTTTCCATACTTTTCGGTTATCCGATTTTTCAATTATCCAACCAACCCCAGTCCCCAATTGAGTCGGATAATCGATGCTCTACTGTATATTAGTACTGCACTAAAAATGTTTATTTTACTCTGACTGGCTGATTTATTTTTTAGTTTGACATCATTTAAAAGCAGGGTTTCTCATTTTCCATATTGGGAATTTGGCTGAGTCACGTCTGAAATTCCCTGTAATTTAAGAATATGTTCTGACAAGTAGTGCTCATTTGGCTGACTCTCATTTTCATGATTTTTATGCATTGTTTTAGAGCTCACTGATGCCATATATAGAATATAATTTCAGCAGTAGAGGGGGCAATTACAAGAATCTGTAAGTTATTGCATGTAAAAATTAATGATTATTATTTTATTTACTATTGAACACAAGACTGTGTTATTATTAAAACACTTGGCGTTTATCCACTTTATTCAGTTGATCTTTATCTCACCTTGTATCCTTGCGCTGTATGTAGTATCCATTTGTTGAACTGTATATGTTATTTTCTTTCTATAGATGGAAGTCGCCGTTTCTATAACTAAACTTGTAGTTGATTCGTTTTTTGAAACCGTGTTTTCGTATTTATTTACTATTGAACACAAGACTGTGTTATTATTAAAACACTTGGCATTTATCCACTTTATTCAGTTGATCTTTATCTCACCTTGTATCCTTGCGCTGTATGTAGTATCCATTTGTTGAACTGTATACGTTATTTTCTTTCTATAGATGTTTTAATAATAACACAGTCTTGTGTTCAATAGTAAATAAATACGAAAACACGGTTTCAAAAAACGGATTATTATTTTATATTATTTTACATCTATCTATAATTATCTTTTATTATAAATATTTAGTAATATATTTATTTATTTATTTATTAATAATTAATAATAAAGATAATTTTTGGCTGCAAGAGGACCAGAAGAAAAGAGCCCCAAAAAGCTAAATACTTCAAAAAGAAAACTCGAATGCACTGAGCATTGATTTTTTTCCACATTCAGGGCATTTATCACTAAAGCATAAATTTTCTCTTGAAGCATGATGGACTACTATTTACAAGAAAGTAGAGATTGAAGAATTCAGAAGAGTAGAGATTTCAGGAAATTTAAGAAGAGTAGCTAATATTTTTACAAATTAAGTAACTATTCTGTCTGCCAGAACATAATTGTTGTGCAATAATAAATTTTAAATAACAGTCTTGTTAGATCATTACTTCTGATTGAATAATAGTATGTCAAGTAGTCATCACAGAAAGTTTTTAAAAAATTTGTTGTGAAAGTGACATGATGTGGCTATTTTATTATTTTTTTAATTAAATAAAATAACTTTAATTTGATAATTTGAAACAAAAAAATAACTTTAAAATTAGGCTATTTGCCAAAATATTTAAAAATACAACTGAAGATAAATGATATCACTGAGCTGAAATTTTAAAAACACCCGTTTTTAATAGATAATAATAGATAATAGCTAATATTTCCACAAAATAAGTAGTCCATATTTTCTATCAGAACATAAAAAGAATGTAATCAAAATTTCATTTGGATTGGACAAAAATAGCAGGAGTTTTAGGGAATTTGCATGCATGAAAACACAAACAAACACAAGCACGACAGCTTCTTTTATTATTAATACTGTATTTTCACATTTAAAATTTTTGAAAATCATAAAGAATTTATTTTCTTTCTTAATATTACTGAGAAGATCAAGAATAAAAAATATAGAAAATATTTTTTAATATAATCTCTACTAAAGTTTATTTTGTATCTTGAAAATGAATTATAATGCATTTGCAGTTACTATTAAAGAAAAGAAGATTGTTATATTAATTTACGTAATAACAGTATTTAATGTTTAATTTAATACCAATAATTCTCTAATTTATTTTTGTATATTATAATGTATAATCTTTTTAGATAATTCTTAACATAATTCATATTGTTAATCTTTTTATCAGACATATTTAATATATTTTTAGTGAATATTTAGAAGGAAAATCAAATCTTGGAAGAGTGTTTAATCCACAACCTTCAAGGAATACTGTTATTGGATATGCAACGTAAGTGTTATTTAGTGGTAATAATTGTATATTTTTACAATTTAATAATTTTGTCTTTAAAATTTTATATAGGTCGTATGCTTGTTCTTGCATTGAAATTAAAAACAGAAGTAGTATATATGTACAGTATCTTAAAAAATACATTACAAAGCCTTTATCAGTTTGGGAAATGTTAAGAAAAGTAAATAGAGGTGAGATTTTTTTACACTAAATATTTTCAATTAAAACATTTATTTTAATCATTATATTTCATTGATTACATTAAATTTTCACATCATTATATATAAATATCAGTATACTTTAAACAAAGAAATTCATATAACATACTACTTTTTCCTTGAAAGTTCAGTTAAAATTAATTAATTTCTTAAAAAATTATTATTTTCATGTGGCAAACATTTGATTTGAAAATAAATTAAATGTTTGTCACAAACTTTCAGTTTACTTTTTATACAGTACCTATGATCAGTGTGAGAAAGTTACTTCTTCAGAAAGAAAAGATTAAACATTTTCTACAAAGAAATATTTAACTATAATTAAAATAAATTTATTCCTATATGATTTGTAATGAAATTAATTTCTGTTTATAATACACTTTTCTCTAATTCATACACATTTACTTTAGTTTTTAAGGAAAATTCCTAATTGTTTATTATAGTTAATTCTCAAGTAACCCAATAGTTAGATTCCTATAAAATCTTGTGTAAAACCATGTTATACAGGTCTAAGAACCAAAGGGGATTGCTAAAGTTAATAAAAGTAAAATGGGGATGCTTTTGTTAAAAATAGCAATAATATTAACAAATATCAGATAATGTACAGTACATTCAGTTAATTTTCTTCTGTTTCATTGCTGCTAATAAGAATCAAACAAGAGTATTTCCTCTGCTGTAGAATATCTGCTCCTCCTAGATTTGCTTTTGTTTAATAGTTCTCTTTAAATTTCATGCTATGGAGTGGAGCACTTTTTTTTTCTTTTGTCAAAGTTCAAAAAGTAAGATTCTAATTACTTCGCTAAGTAATATATCTTCCATATGCTTTTTAATATAAAATTTAGAAACATAGTTTTCACCTGTGCCATCATCCTGTGAATTGATTTGATTTACCTCCAGTGCCATTTTTACCAAATCTGTTTGTCATTTTCATTTCTCCCAGTAACTCTTGATTATCTTCAAATTCTTCTTATAACTTAACTAGTTCAACTATTATTCTGATTACATTTTCTGCCAGGTTAACCATATTTTCTAAATAAATTGACTCTGACCATACAATTTTCCATTTACAGTTAATGACTACAGTGGTACCTCAGGATATGAAATTAATCTGTTCCGAAACTGAGATCGTATCATGAAAATGTCATAAGATGAATCATTTTTCCCATATGATTACATGTAAAACCAAATAATTCGTTCCAACACAAAAAACGCACTCAAATTAAAGCTAAGTAGTACATTAAAAAAAATAACTATAGTAAGGAAAACACTGAAAAATGCATTTTGTAGTTGTAAATGTATAAATAACCATAATAGAATAATAATTGATTTAAAAAAATGTAGTTTTATTTGCACTTTACCTTTGAGGATAGACAACAGTGGAGGTGTAAACTGGTGGCAAAGGAGAGGGGAGAAGGGAAATAATACTGAAACTTAACTTACATAACATAATGTAACAATAACTTAAAAATAACTTAACACTAATTTTTTTATCTTTTGTGTTTTATATATATTTTTAAAAGTTTTTATTCACTGCTTTTTGCTTTCTTTCCTTCACTTCCACCAGCACTTTCATTGATAGAGGTCGCTTGGTAAAATATCTATCCAAAGAGGTTTGGCTTTTCCTACTTTTTAAAATGTTTCTGAAATGACTTAGGCAAATGTCATTACTCTGAGCAGCAATATGGCCAGTGTGAACCTTTTTGGGATGTTTCTTTTCAATAAAATCAGTCACTTTCTGATAATACTTTAAGATTTCCTTTATCGAGCGAGATCCTTCCATGACAAAGCAAACACGTGGACTGAGACCAACGAACAGAAGTGAATAAAAAATGGTGCTGTGAACTAATGTAATGTCATATGGTGAGTTTTTGTTCATATCATGAAGCAAAAATATGTTCGAATTTCATGTCGTATCCTGAAAATTTCATATGCTGGGGCATTCATATCCTGAGATACCACTGTACTTGGAAAGTCTGTAACAGTCATAGATAACTATCACAAATTTTAAATATGAAATTTATAACATGTATAAAATAGCTGTCTAGATGCTTTTAAATTCCAGTATATAAAAGATAATATAAGAAAATCATAAAAGCATATATAAATGTTATATATTTAATTGCTTTTTAGTCTTTGATAGACTGCATTGTCACAAAGTTATGCTTCAGCACCACTTGACTGAAGGGTCAACATTGCTTTGGCAATGACTACGTAAGGATAAAAGACACCGCACAGCAAGTAGGGATGTTTATGTTTGCTGTCAGGGTTGTTGTTGTGAGATCGTGTGCACGGGTTCAGAATGGGGAGATCTGAAAGATGGTGCACCAGAAGTGAATCATTCAGAGGCCAAGTTAACAATTAATAACGGTTTAATTTCAAAAAAAAAGAAAAACATGATACAATTTACAATTTAGTAAGATCCCTTAAATTTAATGTCTATATATGTAAGTGGTCACGAGAGAGACAGAGTTCACATGATATTCTTGTGGCAATAAATACCTGTAGTTTGAAGGATCTGTTTGTAGACCTGATGCAGGAGAGGATTCAGTTGTCCCTTATGAAGACGGAATAAATGAGGAGGTTGCATGTTAGAAGAGTTCTTGATAATGTTTCAGGTCAGAGTTGAACATATATCAGGTCAGGTCAGAGTTGAACATATGTTTTGGAGGCACAAAGTTAATGGTATTGGTCGAAGAATTGGTGGCAACTTCCATTATAGGACCGGGTGATGACTGTAACCATCAGAAGAACAGGTGGTGACCTTTTCTCCTGGAGGGATTGACAATGACTGCCCCCCTTGGGTCATCACTTCTGATGATAAAATGGTAATGCACGGCCAGGAGGTCAATGGATCACAGGGAAAGCATTGGTTTTCGCCGCTAAGAACATATAAACTGAAGTTCTCAGGTGGTAAAGTACAATATATAAATTTAATCAAAATATAGATGATGAAATAGTGTTAAATGTTTTTTGTTGAAATCCAGATTCTCACAGCTTCTTCGGCATCCATAAATCACGCAAACCAATCTTCAATTTTTTAGCAATAGATCTTATTGACTCACCAGCTTCATTTAAAACACTTATTTCCATATTTTCAAAAAGATAAAATATTTTGCCCTTTCCAAATTAACAATGCCTTTTTATACAAGCAAATGACAACTTTTAGTTGATATATCAATAGTTAATAGCTTTCACAGATATGTAGTAAAACATGTATGAATAAAATGAAAAATTATAAAAGAATACTCTAAATTTTTAACTTATAATATTGAACACTAAAAAATCCTTATGAATAATTAGCCTCTTAATTTATTGTAAGAATTTCATTTATCGTTTAGTTTATCATTATCCTTTCTATAGTCAGATATTCTGAATTCATTCTAATTAAAGTATATTTGCCTTATTTCTTTAAAAATATTTGCTCTAAATGCTTCATTATCATTTAGCTTTATTAGTTAGGTCTTTTAATTCATATAATATCCACATCTAAAAACTTTAATTATTATTAAAATGTAATAGGAGCCCTGCCATACATGGACTCCCACAGGCAGTGTCAGGCTTACATTTTGTTTTTTCAGATTGAGAATAATGTATCGGTTTTAAGAAGAAGTTCAAATAATAATGTTTAATAATGTCAACTTAGATGTGGATTGATGCACAAAATGACTGGAAAGGCATATATGTAGGTGAGGCACATGTAATATGCAATGGATGATTTTGGAAAAAATCACAATGGTAGATGAATATATCTGCAATGTGCAAGGATTTTTTTTGCAGTTTTTAAAGACATACTTGGTAAGCTTAGACAAAGGAAAAACTGACAAATTTGTAATTTAAGTTAATTCACATGAAATTACTGTTTTATTTCATACATTTTTGCTGAAACTTTTTTGTTCATAATTCTCTAAAATCAAAATATATCCTGCAATTAGAATAGACAGTATTTGTATCTTGTTTTATGTGTAATTTTTGATGAATATATATCTTACTATTAGTTGAAAAATTATTATAACAACTAAAATTTCTCATTTTTTAATGTCAGGATAAATTTTTAAAATATTCCACAGTCCCATTTGGGCAATAAGAATAACATATTTAATTATCTAAATCTATACAAACTAGTACAAATCAAAATGCTACAGAAAGGGAATACTCTAAAATTATTTCTATATCATGACAAGATCTTCTGTCGTCGCTAAGTCATCTAAAGTTTGGCCTCTATAAGGCATAATATTGTCTAAGTTCAACTAGCCTAAGCTCAGTTTATAACAGAGCGAGCGAGAGTGACGAGAAAGAGAGAGGGTCAAAATTTGGTTGTGTGTTACCTCACGGGTTCCGCTTTCCTAGTATGGGTTGTTGTGGGAATGCACCTGGATCAGCAGTCCTCTCCTTTCAATCAGGTCAGGTAAATCGAGAGACAGACAGTGATTATGGTGGAAAGGCAAGTGTGACGATGGACAGAATGGCAGTATGGGTCTGGTGTCCCTTGATGTCTGCCTGGAGGACTGCGTCCAAGCCCTTTTTATACCTGTTCCGGAGGGGCTGACTAATACAAAATCTGATGCAACCTCATCTAAGGTTGACTTGTGTCCAGGATGTGTGTATGTTACTTGTCAAAACTCGAAACTTTTCTATAGATTTATTACTTCTTCTATCCAGTATTGTCACTTCTTCCATCTCATAAATTTGATAACAATTGTCAAACTAACGGAATTAATTGCTGAAAGTGACTAAGGTCAGAGTTAGTCTTGCACCTTAGTAACAATCATTACTAAAGTGCAAGACTAAGGTGACCTTATATGGCCAGCATTTTCGTTCATAACATCGTACAACATAGGAAATGTGTGGGTTGTGTTTTCTCATTGTTCACATCAAACGGAATAGAGGGGGGTTTGATCGGTTCGGTCTACCCTTATCGGTAACCTTTTTGTTACCCTCTATCATGTAACAAGTTAAGGTTATTGTTAATTGGTTGG